ACTGTTTGCGTGAAGTATCCTTCGCTAGGTATCTGGACGACATATTTCCACACCCCTTGATAGTTTCTTGCGAAGGTGGGAGTGACGTAATCTTCGTTTTTATACAAAGGAAGCCAACAAAGGACTTCTTTTAAATGTAGATTGCAAAAAGTTCATTTTTCTTGCCAGGAATCTAATCTTTAATCTCAATTTATATGACAGAGTCAAATAGAAGACATAAAGAAAGCAAAGCAGGAAGAAGAAATGGAGAAGATAAAGGAATGGGAAGCTCATAAAAGAGCAGAAGAAGAATACGTCAATAGAATGAATCAAATATTAGAAAATCCCACATCCGTCGTCTCGCTTCATCCTTGCCGAAGGGGAAGATTTCACATACCGGTTAATGAAGTATCGTGATAATCTTATTTTAAAATATTTTGTATGTCATTTTAAATTTTAAAAATAAACTTTTATCGGTTTAAATAAATAAATCACAATAAATAAATTTTGTTTTCACTTTTTTTAACTGAATCGTTTATACATTTTTTTTGTAAAAAATTACAGAAAAAAGGATGATATTTATTATTCTATGCGCTTTATTGATCGATTTTATTATTAAAAACATAAATGAAACTAATCAAAAAATTAAAAGGTTTCCTTGTTATATAAATTGTTTTACCGCATAATAAAATTATGTAAGTGTCGACGTTCAGAAGTTAAATGAGAAGTCGATTGTCGGAAGCATTATATTTTTAATTTCTTGACAGATTATTTACACTAAACACGTCGAAATAAATGGAATGCAGGATAGTTAACGTGTATTGTTGAACTTGCATATCTGCAAAGAATAGGGACCAGTAGTGGAACCAGATCCATCTGAAATAAAGGGAGGTTCTTGAAAAGCATAATAAAGAATTTATGTTTTCAATGAGCATTTTTATAACTTTAAAATTATCTTCAGTTATTTTTGTTGCAGTCAAGATTATAAATTCTACAAAGACTCTTCTGGTATGACTTGTTTTTAGATTTAACTTATTACATTTCGGATTGGGACATAGTTATGATGGATCTTTCTCAAGAACAGATAAGATAAAGTCCTCGTGAATTATCAGTGCCATTATCAATCAGCTATTAGCACTTGCTTCTTTACTGATATTCAGAAAACTGGACAGAAATCGGCATTGGCCTTCAACCATTAACTAGACAGTCTATATCAGCTTCAAATCAGGTATTAGTTGCCATCTCCTGTCAGGGTAGATATATCATATAGCTGAGACTTTGTTGCAAGCAAAAATAAATCTTAATTTACATTGTCACATTCAAAACTCAGTTATACTTTTGTTTTCACAGCATATTATCTTAAATTTTACAGTTTTAACTAACTTGAAACATGATTTAAAACAATACTAGAAATAATTTTAAAGCTACAAAAATTTAACAAATACAGAAATTCTTAAATAAATTACTTTCGTTCAGAATTTAAATTTTTACATATGTATTCATTATTTACAGATTTAATCTTACAATAAAATTAAAAATAGAAGAAAATGCTCCTACAAAAAAATTAATCTTTCCTCTCTCAAGANGTATCGTACACGTACTTAATAAAGTATATAATTATAATTTTTAATTACTTTTGATTTATAAGCTTTAAATTATTCATTTTCTGTTATAAATCGCGCGGCACTAAATAATGAATACGTATATTTGGTTGTTTATATTTACTTTAGTATATAGGATGAGCAAAAGTTAGTTAACATTTGTAAAAACTAAACTATTGCCTTATTAAATATGCTAATTACATAACCTTAACATATTCATATTTTTAAGTAGAGATGAGAAGATCCAATAAAACATGGTTAACTTACTTCTCGGACATTTTGCATACATAAGACAAACTCTTAATGGCTAATAGGATACATAAGGTTCTGGTACTCGTATTTACTTCACTGCACAATAGTCAGTACTACTGTAATGCCAGAATTTCTGTCTTATTCAAATACAGGTTCGTCAAAATTGTAATGGCTTTAACAAATGCAGTCCGCATAAAACAAAACATAGTTAATTGATTTCTAAGCCACTTCGTGTATATATATATATATATATATATATATATATAAAGAACTTTCATAGATTGATTGGATTTTCATGGCTCACAAAATACATATATACTAGAGCTATTAAAACCAACCAATCTACACTACATCAAATTCAATTCTTCAAAAATCAAACTAATTTAAATTCAATATTGCTAAAGGGATTCCAATTTAATTCAATACATCTCAGACTTAAGTCAATATTTATATAATTTATTGGAAACAGAACCGAAGATACATAAAATTCAACCAATAAAATTATTATTATTGTTATTATTAAGTGAAGTGTTGTAGTTTTATAATGTTGGTCACCTTTCATGGTCTTAGTTTATAATTTTTATCAGTTTTCTTCACCGGTTTTTGAAGATCTCCCCGAATCATACTTAAATAGTTGTCTAGCGGAAGGTTTCCAACATTTACAGGAACCATTAACCAAAAACCAATCGTAATAAACCCTTATTATGTAGCACCCTATCTGATCGTAACCGTCGCAAGTCTCTTTCACATTGGAAACGGTCTGTTTCTGATGTAAAAACACAGGATACGGTTGAGTCGGTCTGTCCGTCTCGCCCACTCTTCTCTTCAAATACTGTTGAAAGTTACTAAAATCCTCCACCGGTGGTATCTCGTTCTCATAAGGATTCTGCGACGTGGTGAATGGGGTGGAAGTTGGAAAATAGGTGTTTGGATAGAATACTTCAGCTACTAGCAAACTAACCCAACGAGGGGATTCGTGGCAGACGCCTTCCATGAAATCGCAACGGTTCCTCCTGTAATAAATTCCATGGTTAGTTAATTTAATCACCCTTCGTTCCCATGTTTAGTGAGGTCAAAGGTTACTTACACACACTTGGTTTGTTGCACTGTTTGCGTGAAGTATCCTTCGCTAGGTATCTGGACGACATATTTCCACACCCCTTGATAGTTTCTTGCGAAGGTGGGAGTGACGTAATCTTCTATAGAAGGGCAAGGCGTAGGTGGTAGGCCCACCTCCACTTTACTAGTCTCGGAAACCACGTGATGATCGATTCCCTGAGGGGGTGTTGGACGACGTCTACGGACCGGAAACAAGTTGGACAAGTAGCTGAGAGGAGAATGGTTATTAGCCATTAAGTCGATCATCAGGGAGACGGGACTGAAATCATCGGAAGAGGCACCCGTGATGATGGACATGATGTGTGACAGAGGTGACCTGTCCTTGCTCTTCTCCCCGTTGGAAGTCTTCTCGTCTGTGATGGACGAGGGTGACTTTTTGATGCTGTTTTCTGCAATTGCGGCCAGAAGGGAGAGGATCTGATTGGTTTTCGAATCTTCCGTTTCCGGTTTAGGGGTGGTGGTTTTGGTTTTCGACAAAACTTCCGCCAACACGCTTAATACTGTATGAGGCAATTTACCACTTTGCAGAGCGTTCGATAGTGAACATAAGCTTAAAAACAAATAAAAAATATATATATAAATCAGTGTCTTTTAAACTACTAAATATTAATTTGTTTACAACTAGAAACGAAAAACTTAAGTTTCGTATAATTAGAGGCCTTGAAACATATCTAGTTGTGTCTAAGTTAGCCTATAACTTATAACATAAAAGGCCCCTCTCTTTACCAAATAATAATAAGTTT